CAGATTTATAAAAAAAGAAAGAGGTAGAAGGGACACCATCGCCCCTCAACCCTCCGTGCCAGGGGAGGAGGCCACCTGGCACTCGCCTGGCAGGATGTATCGGGGCGGGTTTGGGTTGTTCATTCCCCTAGGCTGTGGAAGAAGGGGCTGGGGGATGTAGCAGGGGAACAGGCTCCAAGGGCTGGATTTGTGGCCCTGGTCCAGGGGGAGACCAGGGTGCAGGGGGCCTGTGTTGCGCCAGACCTGCACGGGGGGTTGAAGAGTGGAGAGCATGGAGCTAGTTGAGGGGATGTTTTTTCCCTATCTCGTCCAAAGCCAGATCAGCTCTGAATTCAACTGAGCAAAGCCCGACACTCGTTCCAAAATGTGACCGAGCAGAGCTCAGTCGTCACGTCTGCGCGGCACTACCACCCGGCGAGTCTCTTCCTCCTGGGCCCGTCCATCTGGGGCTTCGGATGCTCCCCACATCCAGGCGGGCATCCTACGTCCAGAGGCCTTGGGGTTCGCTTGGTCTCAGCCCAGGAGGCCGAGAAGCGATTTGAGGGGAAATGGCAACGGCGCTGGCTCCGGTGGGCTGTCTCCCTTGCGGGGCGGCTGGGGGCAGCGCGGCCTTTCACATGCAGATCCGCAGCGTCCAGTCCAGCTGCCCTCCCCCCATGGAGACCCTGGAACTCCTGGAATTCGACCGGGGAGCAGTGGACAGGGACATCTCTTTGTTCTCTGTGTCCAGCCTTGGTGACTAAAAGCAGAGCCCCTCCCCTCCCCCCTTCCAGTATCTCTCTAGGCTCTTGCTCTTTCCCCCCTCTTCTCTCTCTCTTTTTTGGGGGGGTGGAGAAGGCCTGGGAATGTTCCTGCTTTGTGTGTGGTGTGGGGCGGGCCGGAGGGGGAGGGGGCTTTGGGCCTCTTCCTTTCAGATGCAGGAGGTATGCAGCTAATTCAATGGGCTTCAGTTTGATTACCTATCTGATAACAGAGGAATGCCAACAATGTGTGTGTTTTGGGAAGGGGGGAGGGAGGGGCTCTGGGGACCACCAGCCTCTCAGCAGCTCACTTCAAAAGGCCCTGGGTGGGGGGGAGCAGAGGGGGAGAGCTGCTAGGCTCCTGCCCGGGTTTCTTTCTCTGCCCCCCACCCCGCTCCCCAACTCCCCAGGGAGAGGGGTTTCCTTCGGCCTTTTGTTGGGGTTTCTCCTTATCTCTCCCGGAAAACAAATAGCAATATGTCACGGCTCTGCTGCAGCACATGGCGGCTGCTGAAATGCAGCCACCTCTGGGGTGGAGGGAGGTGCACTGTGCAGCGCGGCACAGGGGGGCCGAGCTGGGGGCGAGCCCTCTGACCAGAGGAGCGGTGGGATCTTTCCTATCCCCGCGGAGAGGGAGGCTGTTCCCCTCCCTGCCGTGGGCTTCGCAGTCCCCTTGCCGCGCTGTGTTGCAGTGCCAACCGCCCAGAAACGGTGTGGGAAGGGGTGTTGGGAAGCAACAGATACACGGGGCGAGCTTTCTGCCCCCAGCTCTTGATCAGCTTCTGTCCTGGAGCACCTGGGCAGAGGTAAACCCGCTGGTGTCCTGTGAGCCTCCCGAGAGAGTTGCCTGGCACCTTCCAGCCCCAGCCGGGCAGAGGCGCCTTGTGATCGTTGCAGGCTGGCACAGGTCGGCTCCCCTGGCAGGGAAAGGCGGCTGCTTCTGGTGTGGAGCATCTGCTCGGCCGCAGCCCCCACATGGCTTGGGACCGGAAGGGAGGGGGGGCCTTCCCCCCCCGAATGAAGA